ATAGTTTGAGGAACACTTGTTGAACTAAACTGGAAAAAAAAGAAAAAGAAAAAAAGATTATCCGGTACAACCTAATTTTACAGGCCATCGAGGCCCAGAGAGGCTAAGCATTTGGCCCCAAGCCACACAGACCAGACCAGAAACCAGGTCTCCTAAGTCCAGATCCAGTGCTCCTGTCACATCCCATGATGCCTGCTGGACAATCTTGAACCCTTTCACAGGCTCCAAGAATCTGCAGCCTCCTGGCCCATCTCAGATGCCTGCTGTACAGATCAGCACTGTCCGAAAGGACCACATGTGATGAAGGAATTGTGCCAGCTGTTCAGTCACCTGGCACCGCTCAGCAAGTGCAGGGAAAGGTGGCCAGTGTGGTAGGGTCATGGGGTGGGGAATGGGCAGGGCTGTGAAGAGAAAAAGGCATGGTGGAGGTGAGACACAGCAAGGAAGAAGGATTGGGTTTGACATTCCAAGGAATCTTCCATCCCCAGAACCATGGGGAGCACTGAAGGATACCGTGCCCAGAAAGGACATGCCTTGATCACAGCCTCCATGGGACCCCAAGGAAGTCACTGCTCCTCTGAGCTCGCCAGTACCTCCGGCACTCCAGTAACACCAGCTGGAGTGGTCATTCATTCATTCAGTTGTCATTCTTTGTCAAAACCCCACACAAACAATAATTTCTCACATCTGCAGCTCATAAGGCTGGCCAACCTAAAATACCCTTCCCCTCCCCTGCCTGGACAGCTCCTGCTCTTCCTTCAGGCCTGAGCTCACTGTCCCCATCTGGGAAGGCATGTGAGATACCCTCATCTGGGCCAGTGCCTCTTCCATGTCTCCAAAGCCAGCCTGGCATGGGGAGGAGGCTTCATTTCTCCATCTTGGCTGTTACTTCTCCTTTCTTGACTCTTCCCACACCTACACTTAGGTCCCCAATCCCCAGCTCTGAGACCCTCAGAAATTCTGACCACGGGCAAGGCACAGTGGCTCATACCTATAATCCCGGCACTTTGGGAGGCCGAGGTTGGCGGATTGCTTGAGGTCAGGAGTTCGAGACTAGCCTAGTCAACATAGTGAAACCCCATCTCTACCAAAAAATACAAAGGTTAGCCAGGCATGGTTGCATGCACCTGTAATCCCAGCTACTCACAAGGCTGAGGCAGAAAAATTGCTTGAACCCGGGAGGTGGAGGTTGCCTGGGTGACAGAGTAAAACCCTGTTTTGAGAAAAAAACAACAACTTCTAACCAAAGTTAGAGTCTGCCAAAGAACCTCAGTCCCCAGCCTAGGGGATCCCACTCCCAGGACCAGCCCCTGGACAGCCCTGCTCAAAGGGAAGATCCAGAGAAAAAAGGCCAGGAGTTGCTGACTTCCTGAGGGAGATGGCACTGACAGATCATGACCATAGAGGGGGACACGCATTTAGGAGAGAAGATGAAAGACCGACAGGAGCTAAGCAGGCTCCTCTGGGAAGGCTTCTCGGAGGAGTGGCTCTCCTTCCCATCGCGTCCTGCAGTGATACGAAGATTTTCCCCCATAGATTCCAAACCCTCTGCTGGCTCCCCTGCCCAGAGAGTCCCTGTCTGTCTCCCTAAGAGTCACATCCTGCCCCAGAACCCAAGCCAGGCTAGGATGTGCCCACGGGAACATTCAGCCAACAATGATGTCTTGCTATCCAACATCTCCAGAGACCTGCTGCTCCACAGGCCAGGAGGCCTCAGGCCAAATGGGGAACAGGGCGGAGAGGAGGCGCTGAAACTCTGACACTTGGATACCATTCTCATAAGGACATCCAGCTGGGCTGCAGGGACACAAACCCAGTGGCCTCTGCCCTCACCCAGGGCCAAAAGGAAGAGCTGCAGGCCAGGACTCTGAGTGGGCAGGCAACTCCGAGAGGGACAGGCAGACAGTAAGATGAGAGAGAGAGAGAGAGAGAGCACAAGAGAATGGAAAACACAGAGGAGGCGGATGAGAATGCCAGGGAGACCCATCACAGGTTGGGAGGGAGTGACGTGGAGAAGGAAATGGGAGGAGAGAGGAAAAAACAAGAAAACGCCCCCTCACTTCAGGACCAGTTCCAAGAGGCTCTGGCAGCCCAGCCCAAGCCTCTTCCCGGGTACTCACCTCCAGACAGCCCTGCCCTTCCCAGCTCCTCACCTCCGGACAGCCCTGCCCCTCCTCTGCTCTTTCTCTGCCTCCTGGATCATCCGGATTGGTCCTGTCACCAGTGACAGGGGACGGGGCAAAGGGGATAGGCTCAAGAGGCAGGGAAGGGAGACACAGATTCCTGTCCCTGGTCCATGTGAGAACGTGAAGGGCAGGGCTCTGGAATCCCAGAGGGTACAGGATGCCCAGGTGTTCTTTCTAGCTGGGGTTGCCTGAGCCCGTCCTCACCTGAAGCCCCAAGCAGGTTGGTTTATTTGTACATCCAGGAGGGAGTTGGCGACTGCCTGGGTACCTAAACATCCTCAGAGAGACTGAAACCTTCCCCTGCTGTCCAGCTCCCACTTCCCGACCCCTACCAGGCCTCCTGCTTCCCTGGGTGGGGGTCCAAGCCCCCAGGTGGTTGAGGCTCTGAGAGTGATATCAGGTCCTCGGTGAGGGTGGAGATTGGCACTGGCCAGGACAGACAGCCCTGCCCAGAGACAGCAGCCTGGACCAGGACCCCTAGGATGCCAGTTCCGGAGTAGAAGGAATAGTGCTCCTCACACCCAACTGTCCAGGTTCCCATCCCTCACAATCATGCGGCTTAGCCTGGGCACTCCAGCCCTCTGCGCCTCCTCCTCTGTCAGTTGGAGTGATGAGAATTAAAGCATCCACCTCAAGTGGGGGTTGTGGGGAGGATCACAGGTGCGCTGGAGGAGGAAAGGAGATGAGGGATGAGCAGGGGAGAGGGAGGAGACAGGGCTGGGCTGTTTGTGGAGTTTTGTTTATTTGGGGCTTTTTGTGGCTGTTCCTGTTTGGCAGCCAGAACAGTGACAGTCAGAGACATCTCCACCAACTGCACCCAGGGGAGACTGCTGGAAAAGAAGCAGCAGGCAGGCCCCACATACCTCCCCCAGGCCAGGGCCCCAGGCTAGCATGCCTTTCATTCCTCTAGGAAGGAGAGGACATCTGCAAGGAAAGCCCCCTGATGCAGGGCCCCAGAGGCAAGCCCTGCAAAGCCATCCCTAGAAGCCAGGGACTCGGCAATTAACCACCACCTGTCAACTCTCAGGGGCTGACTGAGGCCAGAGGAAGGAAGCAAGAAACAGACCTAAGTCACGCACAGGCACTTGGCTGTGACTCCAAGAGAATTAGGTGGCGGTGCTGCCCTAAACTTCTCCCCGGACAGTAAGAAGGCAGCTTCCTTCTCTCGCCAGCTACCCTTTCTCAGGGTCCTAAAATGTAGAGGCTCGGATGAAAGAGCTCCTCAGTCCAACTGTCCAGGTTCCATCACAATCGCGTAGCTTAGCCTGAGCACTCAAGCGCCCTGTGCCTCCTCCTCTGTCAACTGGAGTGATGAGAATTGAAGCACCCACTCAAGTCAGGGTTGTCAGGAGGATCCAGGAGCTAATTCATGCAAAGCATCTGGGACATACCTGATGCGTCTGCTGTTTTTCTGGCCTTGGCAGAGCACAGATGCCGCTGCTGCCCCCTCCCTTCCCCACAGAGCACACAGGGGTGACAGGGTGGGGGGCAAGGTGCTGCGCTTGACCACATGCCATTCGGATACCAGGCCAGAGTGAAGACAGTGGGAGGCCGAGGCGACCACAAAAGTGGGTGCTGAGTGGGGAGGGCAGCGCACCTCAGTCACCCGGCAGTGCCTCGCCACCATACCCAGCAGCAGATCCTGCGATCAGGCTCAGGATGGGCCCGTGGCCTCCGGAAGGGTCCTGTGCCCTTGTGAACCAGAAGTGCCCAGTATGTGAGAAAGAGGTCTGCCCTGGGAGGTGGAGACCCAGGTCCTGGCAAGTGGTTCTCCCCATCAGGGGCTCTCTCTTCCCCTGGGCCCAGCAAGGAGCTGCTACCCCTTCCATCTCTGACCATCCGTGACTCTCCCAGACACGCTCCTCCCTCTGCTCTGGCCCCTGCCACTCAGAGCAGGGGTAAGACAGGTCCAGGAAAGACATGCAGAGCCAGCCACCAGGGCCAGAGCATCAGGACCATCAGGGTTACCCGCTGGTAACCCCCTGTGGGTAGAAGAGTGAGGTCTCAGGAACTGTGGGAAGATACGGGGTGCCCTGGTCTGGGTGGGCCTCTGCTGCCCTGTCAGCAGATGTCCTCTCATTTTGTCTGTGGGGGCAAAATGGTGTCTTTTGTATTTCTACTTCACAGATGGTATAAAGAGGTCAAAGGAGGCAGAGAAGAAGGAAGAGAGGGGAGGAAAGAGCCTGCGGGAGGCAGGGATTCTATTACCTGGGAGCAGAGAGGTCTTCGGCCATAGCCGTCACCCCTGCTGGACTCAGTGCCCGGAAGGCAGCACCATTTGTTGGGGCCAACCTTTTCCCTTGTCCTCCGCCAAGTGCTTTGTGTATGCTACCTCCTGTGACGGGGGTGTTTTCATCCCCACTTTACAAATGGAGACAAACGTCAAGTCACATGCCCGGAGTGGCGAGCAGCCCTGCTGAGTCTCGAACTCAGGTCTCACATTTCCAAAGCTGAGAGTGCTTGACCTTGACCATCTATGTCCTCCCAGCCTCTGAGACAGTGGCATGTACCTAGTAGGTCCTCAGTAAATGCTAAAGTGAAGGAAGGAAGGGAGGAAGGGAGAGGGGGGTAGAAGGAAGGGGAAGATAAGCCAGGAAGACTCTTTGGCAGCTAGAAAATAATACTAAGTGCTGTCTTCCAGTGCCAGGCTGGCACGGTGCCCAGGACAGCTGCCCTACACTCGGGAGCTCAAGGCCTACGCTTGCCTCATCTTTTCCAGAAGTATGTGAGCCCAGATACGTCAGCCTTCAGGTATGCAGTGAGGTCTGTGGTGAGGCGCTCTCTCTTCTCTCCTTCCTCCTTGAATGGGCCTTTCTTTTGCCAACTCCCCACCCCTAACCCACCCAGCCAGCCCAGCCTTGGCCCCCTCCCCAGAGCTAGACCTGCTTTCTTGAGGGTGGAGGGTGGCTGTGGAGCAGCCCCCTAAGCAAGGCAGATGCCTGTGGGAAGGGAGCCCTGCATGCTTCGGGGGGAGGGGCAGGAGCACCACATCATCCAACAGGTTGGTCAGGCTGGGAGGCGTCCCGCCCTCCTGCAGCTAATGAGCACTGTGCAACAGGTGTCTGCTCCTCAGTCCCCAGCCTGCCCCAGCTGTGACCAGAGCGACCAGAGCCCGCCGCTCACCGCCTTATCCCCAAGGCTCACTCGCTCATCCCCCCCTCTGCTTCCGGCCGGGGGCGCCATGACCTGCCGCTCCTGCGTGGTTGGCTTCAGCAGCCTCAGCAGCTGTGAGGTGACCCCGGTGGGCAGCCCCCGGCCTGGAACCTCGGGATGGGGCAGCTGTGGGGCCCCCGGGCCAGGCTTCAGCTCCCACAGCCTCACAGGCTGCTGGTCAACTGGCACCATCCCCAAGGTGACTGTGAACCCCAGCCTGCTGATACCCCTGGACCTCAAGGTGGACCCTGCTGTTCAGCTGCAGAAGAACCAGGAGAAGGAGGAGATGAAGGTCCTCAACGATAAATTTGCCTCCCTGATTGGCAAGGTGAGCACAAGTTGGGATGGGGGGGTCCCAAACATGAAGGTCTGCCAGGCCCAGGCTGGTAGCCCGGCTCTGTTTCCCTGAGCATCGATCACCACGCCCCACCCCCATGCCCAGCCAATGGCGAGGTGGCAGCCTCCCTCTGAGCAGGTTGGAGGAGGGAAGTCCCTGATCCATCCTGGCATAGGGGGAGAAAGGGATCCCAGGATGGCCTTCGAGGGATGTCTGGATGATAACATGCTGCATGGCCTGGGGTCACCCACCACCCAGGCAGGGACTGGGAAGGAGCCCCTAGTGTGGCCAGGGGTGCCCTCTTGTGCTGTGTCCTACTCTGAGGCAGGTGGACAGGGAGATGGCCTCCCAGGCTCCACACTCCTGTTTATCCCTCAGGCCTCTGGCCCCGCAGCATCTCTCAGCTGCCCCAGCAGAAGAGCCGGTGGGGTACAGGGGGCATGGGGGGCTGCCGGAAGGAGGCTGCTGCCCAGACTGCTGCGAGTGAGGGTGCAGCTCCGGTATCAGGAGATAGGAATGCAGGGGACAAGGCCTCAAGTCAGAACCAGGCAGCCAGCTGGTCCTTCCCGCACCCCGCACCCCACCTCCCGGACTGCAGGGAGCAGAACATCCTCGGCCTCACAACCACATTTCCTAGACTCCGCTGCCCATGGCTGGCCACAGGTCTGGGGCACTCGTGTCTATCTCTGCTCTCAGGGCAAGGGAGCGCCCAAGGAAGTCCTACCCACTTCCCAAATCTGCTCTTTACTTACCTTCTCCAAGAAACCCCTCCTGGCTCTGCACCCTCCTGCCTTGCTCAGGAATACCCATGACAGTACCAGCAGCCATTGGCTAATTGCTTACTATGTGCCAGGCACTGTGCTGATGCTTTTCATGTTCATCTCTATTTCTCTCAACAACCTTATGGGAGAAGGTAATTTTATGCCCATTTCACAGCTGAAGGAAACTGTGCATTTCTGACCCTCCCAGTAAACAGAGGTCCGGCCTTCAGGCCCTGGCTCAGTCCTCATCTGTTCTTGGCCTCTGAGTCTGTGTTCCTCTGCATGTTGCTGGTCGCTCCCGTAAGGTGGGAGCTCACGGAGAGGGGCAGAGGGAAGAAAGGAACATGCCTTGAGCATCTACAGGGAAATTCAAGCCACAGGGCTACCCTGCAGTGGCTGTTATTTTCCCAACAGTGCAGATGAGGAAACTGAGGACCAGCAAGGCTAAGTGCCTTGCCCAAGGTCACACAACCAGCAGGTGGCCATCTGGATTTGAACTCAGGTCTGTTGAGACACAAAGTCAGTGGTCTCTGTGGTGGGAATCTTTTCTTTTCCTCTTCCATTCATGTGCCTAGACCAGAGTTTCCTCATTGACACCTGGGGTACCTCTGAGTACGCAGAGGGGAAGGACCACCATCCACCCAGCATCCCTTGCCCCAGCCCTAGGTGCACAGGGCCCTGCACTGCTGGGCTGGTTCTCCCTTTAAAAGCAGCCCAGCTGCCCTGGGGAGGCAGGTCCATGCAGAGCCACCTTCTCACCAAACACAGTTTAATCCCTTAGAAGGAATGCTTCACTGAGCTATGTAATTTGGCTCAGATGGGTGGCTTTTCTCCCACAAATGCCAGTGCTGTTATCACCCTGTGCCGATGCCACGGGGATGGGAGGATGTGAGCACAGGGAGGAGGCCCTCAGGGTTGGGGTCCTGTGACCAGGACCAGAGCGATGCCCTTAAAGTTCTTTAGCAGAATTGGAGCCTCCCAATCCTTAGCCTTGACCTTGCAGTGGGGTGCCCTTCAGGGTGGGAAATGGGGAGCTGTGGGTGCCAGCCCTTTGGGGGCCCTGGTTACAGGACCTCTGCCCCAGGGAGTCCAAGCTGACTCTTCAACTTTACGAGAAAGACCTGGTAGCCCCACCCTTACCTTACCTCCTTGTGGAGGCTGTGAGGACCCAGGTGGAGGCCGGCAGTGGTTAAGATGTGAAATCTGGAGCAGCATTGCGGGGTTGCAATCCCAGTCCACCACTGAGCAGCTGTGTCATCTCAGGCAGATTACTGAACCTCTCTGTGCCTCAATACACATTAGGTTAATGGGCTCATCAGAATCAAATGGGAGAATTTTTGAAAAGCACTTAGAATATACCTGGTACATGTCAAGTGAATTATAACTGTTAAATAAAAAATGAAATCAATGGGGCTGGCCCTGGGAACAGCTAGCACCCAGTTAGCCCCTTCCAGGCAGGAGCCTGGAGAATAGGGGGGAAGCTCCCTGCTGGACAGAGGAGTGAAGGGACTCAGTGGGCAGGGGGTACAGCACCAGGCTGTTGAGCAATGGCCAGAGGAAGGCCCAGGGGTGAGATGTCGTGACCAGTGGGTGGGGGCTCTGGGTAAAGAGAGGAGAGGGGTGGGGGCCTTCTGGCCCTACCTCATTCTGGGCCCTCTGAGGCACTGAGAGAAGCCTGGGAGCACTGAGGAGGAGCAGAGTCTCTCAGGAGGTGGCAGAGGCCCCAGAGCCTTGTGGTTTCTTCCACTTGCTGGCTGCGTTTTCCTGGGCAAGCCATTCACCCTCTCTGCACCCCAGACTCCATTGCTCCGCTCTGCTCTGCCGATGGCCCTGAGCTCGTACCAGTGGAAGAACTGGTGAGGCCATAGTCACGAGATGAAAGGGGATGAGGAGAAGCAGCAGCAGGAGAGGCCAGGGGAGGCAGGGAGGGGGCAAGGCCGACCTCCAGCAGAGGCTGCTGGCTGGGCTACTTGCCTTCATACACGGCATGTAGGACAAAAGAGGGCCTGGAGAGGGGGCAGGAGGCAGAACTGCCTAAGGTCATCCTGGAGAGGCTGTAGAGAGCAAACCCGTGAGCAATGGTAAGATGCCCAGAGACAGAGGGGTGAAGACAATGTCTTCACTGAGGCCTGCGGGACTTCTGGAAGGACTGAAGTCAGCCATCCCCCTGCCTGTATGCAGAAAAGCACAAACCAGACACTCCTGATGAGACTTTGAGGTTCTCTGGCCAAAGCCAACATCTGGCTAAAAACCGGGGATTCAACGACCCCCTCTGAGGAATGGGACCTTCATGGCCTAGAGGCACTGGCCTGTAAGCTTGGGACCTCTGAGACATCTGGACTGTGTCCCTCCTGGAGTTCCAGTTCCCCTACAAAACATCATGTCTCTCCCCTAACCTCAGCCTCCAACCTGGCCCTACTTTTCAACTGGGCTTCAGTTTCCTCATCTGTAAAATGGAGAGGTCCCTGCTACAGCTGCTACTGTATGATCTAAGGGCAGGGGGCCGTGCAGAACAGAGGGGAGGAGGAATCAGAGGCAAAGGCTCAGCAGCCTTAATGGGTGTGAGGCAATTAACCTGGCACCTCTCAGAGCGCCAGGATCATCAGCCCTCCCCAGGTCTTTGCTCCGAGAGGGAGGAGGCTTTCTACAGGGAAGGTCCTGGGTGGGGGATGAGTTTCCATCCCCACCCACTGAGACAACCAGAGACTCCCCCAAGGGCAGCAGAACACGGGGGGGCTGTCCCTAATCCCCTAAGACCACAGATGCCTTCTGGCTGGACTGGCTGGCCAAACGAGCACCATGTCCCAGCGAGCTAGTGCTGAAGCATAGGGAATTGAGGTTAGACTGAAGGAAGAACTTCCTGGTGCAAAGATTTTTCTGCTGCTCATGGGTGGAGGAAGGAGCCTCACATCTCTCCTCTCACTCCACCCTCAGTGTAAACATGGGGCTCCTGCTTGTCAAAACGGAGGGAAGGTGGGGTGAGCAGATACCTGCCCCCCCAGCGCTCCCTCTCACACACACAAGGCAGGGCAGAAACCCTCTTGACCTCCATCCCTACTGAACCTGTTTGGCTGTGAGTGCAGCAAAGAGCAGGCTTAAGGCTGGCTTCAAGGAGAACCTACCAGTACAGATACGCAGGGGAATGGCAGCCCACAAATACCGTCAAATGTACTTGACAGTATTCCTGCTGCCATTGTGTACCGTGAATGACCAAGGGTCATCAGAGCATTTCAGGAAAAACAAGGACAGCCTGAAGAAGCAGAGCAGAGGGAGAGAGCAGTCCTCACCCAACCCTTCGGGAGCCCACCAAGGTGCAGAGTGGGCAGTGGCCATCAGATGGGCCTGTCTGGGAAGCTCAGCCACCAAGTTGCTTTGTGACCCTGGAGAAGTCACTTGATACCCCTGGCCTCCATTGCCTCCTCTGTAAATGAAGGGCCAGCCCAGCTGATCCAAAAGGCTGCCGGCAGTTCTTTCAGACTACGATTCTGGGAGCCTGTGCCAGCAGCACCAGCAGTGGTGGGAGAAGGCCCAGCCACTCACCTGTGGCCATAGTAAGCATCACTGGGCTGGTTATCACCACAAACAGCCCACACTGACAGGAGCTAGGCCCCAGCCGGGCCTCCCACCTCCTCCCCTACCCACATCCCTGGCACTGATGGGGTAGAGGCCCCAAGGGGGAGCAGATGGCTCCCAGTGTGATGGGGAAAGTGATGGGTCAGGACAAATGAGAAACAGGTAAATTGAGGACCTTTCAAGATATGAATCATGGAGAGCTTCCTGCAGGAGGAACAAAAGAGAAGGATGGGAGGGCCTGGTGATGGGAAGGAGAGTGCCTGAAGGAGGCTGGAGCCCAGAGAGGACAGGCAGGGTGGGGAGGAGGGAGGCAGTGGGAGTCCCAGGCTGAGCTGGGCTGGACTGGGTGGAGGGAGGGCGAGGACCTGGAAGGACCCTGCCAGCAAGAGGCATATGGGAGGCTGAGTCTGCGAGGAGCAGCAGGGCTCAGAGCCCTCTTAGGGTTTCACCTTGAGGCAAAACTGTCCCTAAATGGAGGAAGAAGCCAGTCCAGGAAGGGTAGCTGGAGTCCCAGGGCCCACAGGGACTCCAGCAATGCACAGGAGGCATGTGTCATAGTGGCTAAAACATTCTAAACACAAAGTACCTGGATTCCAGGCCTGGCTCTGCCACTTGCTAATTTTGTGACCTTGGGCAAGTTCCATCACCTCTGATTTCCTCATCTGCAAAATGCAGCTTATTATAGTGCCCACCCATGGGGGTGCTGCCGGGAGTTCATGGGTCAAGCATTTCGACAAAGCCTGGCACTCAGCAGGGGCCACGTGAGCACTTGCTGTTGTTCCTACCCCAAAGCACATCCCCAGGTGTCCCCTCCGTCTCATGGGGAGGGTGGCGGGTCAGGACAGAGGAGGAGCAGGTAAACTGAGGGTCTCGGTGCTGGAGGGAAGTGGGAGGCTTTCAACATATGAGTCACAGAGGACTCTGGCAGAAGGGAGCTGGAAGAATAGGGAGGAGGAAGGGCCTGGTGATGGGAAGGAGAGTAGAGAGGACGGGCAGGGTGGGGAGGAGGCAGGCGAGCCCCAGGCTGAGCTGGGCTGGACCGGACGGAGGGAAGGAGAGGACCATGCAGGCAGGTGTGTTCACCCCTAACTTCTAGCTGGGGAAACAGAGGTTCAGAGAGGCTGTGTTACCGAGAGGATGAGCACTTAAGCCCAGTACTAACCAGGCCCTACCATGCTGAGTTTCCAAGACAAGAGGAGACCAGGCTTGTCATGTCGGGAAGGGGGCAAAAGGGCCTCTGACACTCCACGTTCCCTGAGTTCTCCCGCCCCAGCCCTAGGCAGGCACAGAGAGCCTGTCGCATGCTTGGCACTCTCACCCTCGTCCCCACTCCCTCTGCCAGCCCTGCCCTGCCCTCCCCTGGAAGCCTTTGCTAATTGGCTCCACCTCGCTCCGATCCTGTCCTTATCTTACCATCTTCAGTTTTAACAATCAGTCATTGGAGATGCGTTCTGCTGAGTGAGGGCCCTGGGTGGTGTGCACAAATGAGCTGCCACTTCCCAGGGAGTCCCCCGGGGGCTCTTGGTCAGCCTGGGACCTCAGCCCCTGACTCGTCCACACCTGACCCCTTCGCCACCCTCCTGCTCTCCCAGGTGCAAGCCCTGGAACAGCGCAACCAGCTGCTGGAGACACGCTGGAGCTTCCTGCAGGGCCAGCACTCAGCCGCCTGCGACCTGGGGCATCTCTACGAGGAATACCAGGGCCGGCTGCAGGAGGAACTGCGCAAAGTGAGCCAGGAGCGGGGACAGCTGGAGGCCAACCTGCTGCAGGTGCTGGAGAAGGTCGAGGAGTTTCGAATCCGGTAGGCAGAGCCCCATGGGAGCCAAGAGCGAGGCCAGAGGGCTGGGACCAAGCTATGCTAAGATGGGAGGCACTTAAGCCAGAGAAAGAAGAAAGACGTTCTGGAACGTTTCTCTACCTATTTATGAGGGACCGGTCTGTGCCAGGCAATATTCTAAATACCGAGGCTATGGCTGTGAACCTACAGCTGCCTCCTCCCTAATAGTGACTCTTGCCACAAAGTCAGTCTTGTGCTGGCTCCCAGCTAAACCCGTGCCTGCTGGCCCTCGGGCATGATCATAACCCACCCCCTGCCTCGAGCAGTCCCCTCTTGTACCTATGAGCTCACTTGCTCTTGCCCACACATTGCTCTGGCAATGGGAAGTTACGTTACTAGCTAGAACAGATGGGTTTCTGTTTTAGATGTGGCTTTAGATTTTGATCTCAGTTGGGTTGGAAAGGAGAAGAAAACCACCAGGATGCAGGCAGGGGATGGAAAGAGTGGGGTTCATTTGAATAGAGAAGCAATGCACGCCACTCCCAGGGAAGACTTGGAAAGAGACAGATACAGAAAACAGCCTCAGTATGCAAGGCACCTTTACAACTTGGTGGTCGGACAGACAGACAGACAGTGGCTGGGCAGTACATCCCAGCATTTATGGACCCAACTCGGGCATTAGGCCAGGATGAGGTTTCACCTTTGCCCTCACCCATCACTAGCTTTGTGACCTCCAGGAAGTTGCTTCATATCTGAACCCATTTCCTCCTGTATGAAATGAATGATGATGGGTGATGGCAACCTAAGGTAGGTATCTAACCTAAGGAGGGAGTTGGGAGTGTGGCACAGTGGCTGGCAGTTATGAATGGCAGGTTTTTTCTATCCCTAGAAGGCTGAAGTTCTCAGCACACAGCAGGTCTTTGACATGGGTTTGCTGAACTGAATTTTCCAGTCTAAAAGGGAAACCTGGTCATTCGGGCTGCTTAGAGGAGAGGTGACTCTCTCTGGCCAGGCAGTGGGCAGGGCTTCAGGAACAAGGAGGCTGAGGCAGAGGAGAGTGGCTGTGCCCTGCACCCACCTCCTTGGGTCTGGTCTCCTTGCAAGGAGACTGCCAGCCAGGGTGAGAGGAGGATGGTGCAGGCTGAACCCCTGGCCTCCCTCCTGCAGTGCTGTGGCCCAGCCCCAAACCCTGCTACTCTGAGGTGAGACCCACAGCCTCCAGAGCAGCTGGCCAGGGCTGGAGGGTGGAGGGCACCTGTCCAGGAGTCCAGAGACCCGAGCTGTGGCTGAGTTTGGCCATCGCCTCTCCCCAGCCCTGCCCTCTCAGGCCTAGGGAAGCACACAGGGCATCTGAACACCCCTCCTGGGAGCCCCAGCTTCCCAGCACCTGACCATGACTGGGCAGTCAGGTCAGTTCACCAGAAGCTGTGACCCACTTCCCTGATCCCTAGTAGATCTTCAGCCCTCAAAGGAACAAAGAATGCCAGAGCTAGAAGGAGTCCTGGATCCTCCTTTCACAGGGAAGGAAGCAGGCCCAGAGAGGGCAGGGCTTGTCCTCAGTTACACAGCCTGGTATGCTAAGTCCCATCCCTAACCTCAGCCAGCTGCTGGGTAAGGCTGCTCCCAGGAGCTCCACCAGATCACATCTGTGGAAGCACTTCATACTGGAAGTTCTATACACACGGTACCTGTTGTGTTCATCTGGCTCAGCCCCCTCATTTGGCCTGCTGCCTGGTTTCTATCCGCCTGCTATCTGTCTCCACTGCTTAGGCTCGGAGCCTCTCTTCCTCTCTTTGGATAGGGGATCCACCCGAGTTGGGAAGGAGAGACTGCGCAAATGGCCTGGCTGGAGGGCTTCTGGGTCTTCAGACCAGAGCCTGGGGAGCTACAGTGTGGCTGGCTATGCAGAGCCTAGGGCCCCGGGAGCCCGGAGACGCCAAGCTGAGCCCCAGGAGGGAAGGGCTGTGCCCTGTCTCTACAGAGCCGATGAGATCAGCCTCACTCACTCCCAGAAATAAACAAGCTGTGGGGTGGGGGGCGGGGGGAGGAGGTGCAGGTGTGACAAGCTAAAAAAGGCCTGAAAACGGGTTTGGGAACTGGTGGCTGACAGACTGGCAGAGGACTGGGAGTGGAATAGGGGACCTAACCCTCTATGGGGACAGAGACTTCCAAAGACTTTGAGGTTGCAGAAACCCCAAGGATCAGCTGTCTACCCCTCCTATTTACTAAGGACAAAGCAGCGACTCAGCAAAGGGAAGCGACTTGCCCAAGGCCACATAGCAAGTGACTCAGGGATGCCACATACAGCTGTGCAAGCTGTGCACTGCACAAGAGTACATGGCTGAGGCAGTGAATAGGGGCTGAGATCCAGCCAAGCATTAGGCCATCCGGACTGGTACAAGGTCAAACAGCCCGTCAGGAAGGGGGCTTGTTTCTCACTGACACAAAGGCTGGAGATGAAATGGTATTGGCCTTAAGGGGACTGACTCTAGACTGGAACCCAGTGTCCTGCCTCAGCCTAACGTTCCCCACTGTCCTCTCCCCTGGGGCTCAGGGCTGGCTCCCACCCCACCCACGCAGTACAGCTAGAGGTCCAGGGCCAAGGCAGACCCAGCCTAGGCAGGACACCACAAGGACGTCCTCTCAGTCCACACTCCTGGTATCCTTCTCCACCAGGGGAGGTTTCCCAGGGCAGCTGCCAAGCCCCTGTCTCCCTCGACTCACTCTGCCTATGTTCCCCCAGGCGAGGTGAGTGGCACAGAGTCAGCCACCTGTGCTCCACAGCGAGGCTTCCTAAGCCGAGGCAGAGGGGCTGAACCCCAGCAGCTGCTGCCCCCGCCACAAGCACCCTATGGGTTGCCCTATTTAATCCTCAGCGCCACTGTGATCATGGCAGCAGCACATAGGAACTCACCCAGGGATGCAGCTGGCCAGCAAGGAAGCCAGGATTTCAGCCCACGTGGCCTGGCTCCAGGCCCCTTGCTTCACCAGCATGCTCTAAGAGCCCCCAGCCCTTCTTTGAGCCTCCATTTCCTCATCTGTAAAATGAGACCAATGGGACTTCCCTAACTGGGGGTTCTGAGGGCCACAGGCGACAGTGCAGGTGAAGCCCCCAGTGCCTGTCATTCCCCACTCAAGTCCCATTTTGTTCTCTCTGGGAATGCCTAGACAGCAGAACGTTCTCCCCAGCCCACTCCTCTGCCCAGACCCCCAGGACCTGCACCATGATGGCCCCTAACAGACTCTTGGCAGCCAAGGCAGTGGCCAGGGAGAGTGTGGGCCCCCAGCACGCTGAGACCAGAAACCCACATGCCCTGCAGTTGAGTCCACGCCCCTCAGCCCCTCGGGTGGGCTGGTGGGAGAGAAGAAGGCATGAGGGAAGCCAGATGCAGACAGCTCACATGGGTGATGAGTGACGTGGCCCTGCTGGGAGGCCAGGGCCTGAGGTAGGCAGGCAGCTGTAATCAGAGCCTCCAGTAATTCAGGCATTCCTTGAAAAGGAGTGAAGACAGAAGCTGCTGAATCCCCACAGCTGCTGGGGCCAGCAGACACTCACTTCAGGGGCTGAGACAAATGTTTTGACTGAAGGAAGACGGTTGGGCCAGGAATCTGGGGGTCCCGCCCTCCCCATCCAACAGTGTCCTTGTTCCAAACACAGGTGGGCATGAGTAAGGAGAAGTCCAAACTGAGAAGAGCGTTGCGCTTTGTTGAATATGGCCTATGCGGTCTGTAGCTGGCTGTCACCGCATCGGGGTGGGCTTTGTCAGCCCCCTGTACACATGGGCACACACACCCCTTAGAGACAGGAAACCAAGGGAGGAGGGGTGAAGCAACTTGCCCAAAAACACACCAGGGGTCCATCTGACAGCAAAGTTCACGCTCTTCCTATCCTCCCTTTGGAGGGAACATGATGGGAAGGTGTCCTACCGGCTCACAAAGAAGAGGGGAGGCGACTGGGGCTGCAGGGAAGGCGTGGAGGTGGGAGAGGTGAGGTGTGAGCAGGATGCTCCCAGCAGACTTGATTGAACCTGAGACTGTCAGGGAAAAAGGTCGGGTAAAGATGAGGGAACAAAGTGCCAGGGTGAGGGGCTACACAATCAGGGAGGCCTCCTGGAGGAGGTGGATGTGGAGCAGAGCCAGGAAAGGGAAGAAGCCGTTGGGAGAGGGCTGGGTCATCAGGAAGGAGTGGGGAACGGGAAGCCAATGCCAGGAGGTCGGGGGAGAGAGAGAGGACCTGTCATAGAAGACTCAAGAGGGAGAAGGATGGGCTGCTTTTTTCTAACTGGCAAGAGACCCCAAGTGGGATAGCAGAGGCCCTGAGCTCCAACCAAGGGGAGTTCACCAGTCCCAAGCCCCAACCACATCTAGCTGAGCCACACCTCTCTCCCTCTCAGGTATGAGGACGAGATCTCCAAGCGCACAGACATGGAGTTCACCTTTGTCCAGCTGAAGAAGGTAGCCTGCCCAGCCCGCCCCGGGGTCTCCTTTTTCAATGGCCCTGGGCCTCTTTCCCTCCAGATCACCTACTCTCCTTCATGCCCAATCAAAGCCCTCAGAGGCTTAAGTCCAAAGACCGACAGATAGACAGGGAAATACCCCCATCCCCATCCAGTTCCTTTTTCCAGGCTCTGAGCCAGATCTCCTCTGGAATCACCCCAACTCTCACCCAGGAGGCAGTCTCCCCAGCCCACTCCCACCCTGGGACCCTCCATTCCCTCTCCCACCACTCACCAGTGCTCCCAATCCCAGGACCTGGATGCAGAGTGTCTTCGTCGGACTGAACTGGAAACCAAGTTAAAAAGCCTGCAGAGCTTCGTGGAGTTGATGAAAACCATCTATGAGCAGGTGAGTGACACGGGGCCAGTGTCCTGCCAAACCCAGAGCTGGCTGATCTGTGGGTAAAGGACACAGGGGACGCCCAGCCATCCAGCGGGGCATGGAGCCTCCAACAGTCGCTTACAATTTCCAGTCACAGCAGAATAATTTCCTGAACCCCTTCCTGTGATGATGTCACTAATCCTGCATGAGGCCTGGCCATTCAGCTCATGGAACATGGGCCGCTTCCCCAAAGGCCACTCTTTTTGGAAGAACTGTATCTTTGTGTGCTAGAGTACTGAGGGTCTTGGGGGACCAAGTGCCTCTGGCAAGGGTCAGGAGGCTGGCCTCAGGGGCATGGATCCTAGGGGCCTGGAACCAGCATTCTGATTGAACTGCTCTCTCTCTAATCCCTGTAGCCTAAACCACAGGCACCCATGCCAAAGGCAGGCTAGTTCTGATAGGCCTGCCTTTCCCTCTTCCCCATTTTTGGCTAACGACCTAGTAAATGACAGAGGAAACTGTCACATTTGTTTCCTAAGTCCTCAGCCGGGCCTGGTGCACAAGGGCCCAGAACAGCGTAGCCTGCCTCGGCACAGCTGTCAAATGGGCACAGCCGCTGGCTTCTGGGCATCGGTCCTCCATGCCAGCTGCTGACTCTCAGGCCCCCTTCAGGATATGCATCCTCCTCTCCACACTGCTTCTTTCAGGGGTGAGGAGTTTTAGAAGTGGTGCTCCTGGGCTAAAGTTGCTTCCACAGAAGTCTTCAGCTCAGCTAGGAGCAGGCAGCACCACTATGGGGATAACAGGGCTTGGCCACCTAAGTGCCTCACACTGCTGGTGCCAAGCTACAGCACTGCAGCCAAGGTCAAGGCAGAGATCAAATCCGCCACCACAACCTAAAGATTCTGCTAAAACGGCCCTCTGGTCTGCTGACCACAGCTTCTTGGCTGCGCCCTGTGGAAAGGAAGATCAGGCCTTGTGGCCTTATCATGGGCCACACTCTTTTCCAGCAGTCCCAATCCCCAGAAGGGGCTTCCCTGGAGCTGAGTCTTATCTGTGGCCACGAGATGGAGCGCAGGAGAGAGAACAGCAAACCCTTGGGAGCAGCAGGAAGGCAGCCTGCCCAGGCAGTCCAATCTCACCACAGCCCTGAAAAGTTTCCTGGCCCTAGCAAATTCCTCCACAGCCAGGCCAGCAACTGTGGAGCTGACCAGGGCACGATGTCCACTGGCTGGGTGGGAACTGGGCTAGGGGCTCCTCTGCTCAAAGTCACTGTGGCTGGTACAGCCCAGACAGGCATCAGCAGGGCCAGCTCCCGTCTCCACTGGGCTGGATCTCTGCCACCCTTGCGCCTCCACCCACTTGTACCGCCTCTGAGAGGCTGAGCCTATGGGTGACCGCAGAATCGGCCGAGCCCAGGGGTTCAGAATCTGCACTCCACCTGCTCACTGATTTCTCAGCAAGCTCAGAGCTCAAGCTGTAAGGCAGGATGCCGCCCTGCAGCCGTAGAGACATAACTGGAAGAAAGCTGGGCATAACCAGTGATATTCCTGAGCCTTGCTGGGTCGCACCCCACAAGACTTCTTGGCCCCTGCCCCAGTAACCAGGCCTGTGGGTTCCCTTTGGATTTTGCAGACCTTGGACCCCAATCTCAACTTGGCCTCTTTTTCTTTTTTACGATTTCTGTGACTTTAGGCAAGTTATTTCTCCTCTCTGTGCCTTAGTGTCCTTATCTGTAGCATAGAGAGAGTAGCAGGACCAGCTTCAGAGGGCTGTGAGGAGGACTCAGCCTGCTCATTCATTTAACAAAGGTTTATTGCATGCCTGCTAAGTGCCAGGGACCGATACCACAGCCTGAGCAAGGCTGTTCTCTCAAGGAGAGCATGACTTACCTGAGAGAAGTCATAAGCAAGGTAGCAAATATCTGGACAAGACGACTTCACAGGGTGACAGACGCCGGGATGCAAAGAAACCGGGCGCTGCACTGGAGCTGGAGAAAGGGGAGGGCCTTGGAACCTATGGGTGGGGCCTCTCAGAGGTGGTAGGATCAGGTAGAGGCCCAAGGGTGCTGGAGATCCAGCCCAGTGGGGACTGGGGATGACACGAAAGAGCTGTGCGAAGCCCCTAAGGCAGGAGGGAGCCTGGCGATTAAAGGAAAAGGAAAAAGCCTCTGGTCAGAGCAGACAGGGCAGGGTGGGAGCCTTAGGTCAGAGACACCTCGCAGGGCTGGCTCATGACATGGACCTCACTCTGAGTGTGACAGGCAGCCTCCAGTGGGCACTGGAGTGGGGCGGCACACAGCGGGTTTCAGCTGTGGTTGTGCTATCCTGAGCCTGCCATGAAGAAGGGCCTGCAGAGAAGGCAGTAGGGGCCAGGGCACCACAGCAGTTATTACTTTTGGAAGCAGCAAGGTGGGGCTGAAACGTGAGGTTTGCATTTCTCTCCATACACCGCAGCAGGCTAAGAGGGCAATGCTGACTCTTTGCCAAAAGGATTCCCCACCCCAGGGGATGTCTAAGTCAGTGCTGTCTGATAGAAATACAATGTGAACTGCCTATGGAATTTTTTCTAGTTGCCACATTTAATAACGGAAAAATTAATTTTAGTAATACATTTTATTTAGCCCAATATATCCAAAATGTAATTATTTCAACATCTACCTCATTGGACAGAGCAGCTCTAAGCAAAGACTGTGCCAGTCACACCTGCCTCAGATGGAAGAAAAAACTGGCAGAATGTGAGTGGCCCAGGAGGCCCCGATACTCTAGTTTCAACTTTGGAGCAGACACCAGATCAGAAATAGATGCCCACCCCTGTGTCCCAGAAAATAGCCCTCTCCTGTCTCCAACACACATATGCATATGCACACACATGCACGCACACGCACACACACACACATACACAGAGCCAGGATCCATTCTGAAAAGCCCTTCCCAGCCAGCTGAGCAGGAGCTCACGGCCATGATCTGCTCAGGCCTCATCTACTGCAAACCCTCCGCCTCTCTCCCCCAGGGGCACAGGCTGCAAGGTCCCTGCAGCTTCTGAGGCACAGTCCAGCTCCCAAGTGTGTTTGGGGCCTGGCTGCATCCAGCTGGAATGCCACCTACCCCACCCCTAAGCTCTGGCTCCAGGGAGATTAGCTGTGGAATCTGCTGACAACCCCCTGCAGCCAGGCACACCTTGTGGGAGGCCCATCCCTGCAGAGAGAAGCCAGTGCTGCCTGCACTTTCACAGGGAGGCTGCCCAGGGAACACTTCATCTCAGCTTTCTCACTTTTACCAATTGCCATAATAGAGAGTCCTTAACTACTGTTTAGTGAGCACCTAATGTATTCCAGACACTGTGCTAAGTGCCCTGCAGACCTAATCTCAGTTAATCCTCATGACAACTCTATGAAGTAGGGATAATGATTAAGAGAGCACAGATTTTGAACAGCTTGGATTTGAATCCTGGCTCAGTGACTGTGTGAACTGGAACAGGCTATTTTAATCTCTATATGCCTCAGTTTCCCCATCTATGAAATGGGGACAATAATAGCATCTACCTCATTGGGCTGTTGTGAGGATTTGTTTTGTTAACATATCCTAAAATACTTAGAACAGTAACTGGCACACGGTGAGCATTCCATAAACATTAGCTATTTTCAGCTCTATAATGGACCCATTTTACAGACGAGAAAACCAAGGCTTAGACACATTTAAAAACTTGACCAGGGTCACCCAAATAATAAGCAGTGACGATATTCAGAGAGTAGCATTTTACTCTCTGTTACCCCATAAGAGCCACAATCTGCCCCTATATGGGGAACACAGTGAGGGTCCTCACACACGCAGCAGCCTCCTAAGGGAAGCCGTAAACTGTATTTCGGCTTAATTCTTACCCATTTGGAGGTGCACGTGCTCTCCAGGGGGCCCACCCTGTGGGGCACCTCCACACCACACAAGCCAGCATTGTCATACTCTGCGCAGCCCGCAGGGGCCTGCATGTCTGAACAGGTCTGCGGATGTTCTGAATGTTCCATTTCCTGCTTTTGTTTACCAAGCTCCTGCTTAGCCTTCCTGTTCCCAGAAAATGTCTCGCTGGTCTTTTCGCCCTGACTAGGAAGACCTGCTATAGTGTGTCCTCACAGTGCACTGGCCTTTCCCGGGGCCAAGACAAATGCCAATTAGGCCCTCATGTAGAAGTGTGCTGGAGGGCTCTATCTGGGGGTCCCCACACCCACTGATGCCCATAATGTGTCAACCAAAACAGCCTCAAAGCTGCAACTCTGAAACTGTCCCCAGCAAAGCCCCAGCCAGGGTGCTGGTGCCACGTGGGAGATGTCGGCTAGTGGCCGGGGCAGTGGAGGTGAGGCTGTGGTACCAATCAATCTTATTCTGGCATAGTTTGGGCCATCTGCCTGCTTTCGCCTAGAGATTTCTATTTTCATTCGAAGATCAACCAAAACCCCCAGCAGGAAACACCCAAGGGCAGCTGGCCACTGACTTCAGGGTCCTGCCAGCTCCAGGACAGAACCAGGTGTCCCCCAGAGGGGCTTCCAGATGCCGCCACTGCCCCACCATCCCTGTCACCAGGAGGCACTGGTGGGCAGCGTCCGTTCCCCGACAGCCCTTTGCAGCTGCCACACAGCCCTAGCTGGCTCCTCATCCCTGTTGTCTACAGCTCAGAAGTGCAGCCTCTGCCTGGGACAGAAACCAGAGGCCTCAGCACAAGCTCTCTGAGCAGAGCAGAAAGAGGGATGGAGGATCAGGAGGCGGCCCAGAGTCAGGAACCAGGGTCACAACACAGTCAGGAACTAAAAAGCTGAGCCTGGATCCCAGCAGGCCTCTGAGTGCACCGGCCAGTTTGCAGGAAATATTGGGGCTGAAGAGCACATAGAACATCAGCACAGGGTACAACAATAAAACCCACTTGTGAGGGACTCCGCCAGGCAGGCGGCCAATGTGTTCAAAAAGAATGATTCCGAGAAACGGAGATCACAAGACACCCAGAGACATATGGACCAACTGCAGTACACGGCCCTGTTTGAATCCTGATTCAAACAAACACATTTAAAACATGATGAGTCGGTCAGCAAAATGGGAATGCTGCCTGAAATGTGATGATTGAAAGAGGGGTCAAGGGTGGCCTGTGAATGCCAAAAGGAGCACGATGTGTCTGTGCCCAGCACCTGCCCCTGCCTGGCCCCTCCCCGCCACTGACTCCATCAGTGTGATGCTTGGTTGACTCCCCTCGCTCCTCTCCCACAGGGAGGCCCTACCCTTTTCAGCATCTCCAGGGCAAGCTGCCCCGGGGCCCCTTGCAACCTCTTCTAGAGATCCCTGGTCCCGCTGCCTCCCTCCACACCCCTGAGCATTCTGGCTAGAAAGCTGCCAGGCTGCGGGCAGAAGAGAAGGCCAGTCTAGGGCCAGAAAGACAGTGAAGAAGGTGTCAGCCCCTTGTCTCTGCCCACTAAAGCCTCGCAGCAGCAGCAGCAGCAGCAGGGGCTCTGGGGCCAACCTCACCACTCACCCCTGTCTCCACAACATCTTTGTGCCTCAGTTTCCTCCTCTGGGGCTGCAGCAGTGCCAGCCTGTCGAGGATGTGTGGAAAGCACTCAGCACACAGTCCAGTCATAGGGAATTCCTCAGGGAAAGATGGGTTTGGCCATTTCCAGAAGTCCCCAGGGATAGGGAAGTGAAAATATTGTGGTTGTGAGGGCAACATCCCTTGGCTAGAGAGGGAGCGGGTGGTGAGTTTCCAGGGGGACCCTGAATTCAAAGCACCGGAGGCCGCGCCCAGGCCCCTCACAGGCTGTCAGCTTTCAGTGGCACCAGGAGAGGAGAGTGCAGGTTTGTTAGCCTCCAGCCCACCCCCACCCTGGTCACTCACTGGCTTCCCTCCCAGCATTTCCAGATGAACTGAGCCACTCCTTTGCCAGACGTGGGGGCTCAGGGATGAACACAGCTCTGCCAGGCCCACAGGGAGCTGTACCACGCAGCACAGAAATAATGAAGCAGTAAGCAAAGGGGCCCAACTCACACCCCAGAACCTGAGTTCTTAGGCGCTTTCGCATCAGCCAGGAGGAGGCTGTCCCTCCCAGGGACAGCAGGGCAGCAGGGCAGGCCATGGGGAAGCTTGCAGGGCAGCCTTTGGAGCCAACAGTCCCGGCCTGCCCTCCACTCAGAGAGGGAGACCATGGATGGGTAAGCAGCAGGCAGTGAACTGCCTCCCAAGAGTTCTGGCAGGGAGGCGTTCAGCCTACCATCATCTCTCCAGAGGGACAGGAAGGGAGCAGCTCCACTCTTCACTCACCCCGGGGACAAAGGGACTGTGTGGGGCTGAGGGTCCTTGTGCCCTCCTCACCAGCCCTGAGCCCCCACATCTGTGCCCCGCCAGGAGCTGAAGGACCTGGCAGCGCAGGTGAAGGATGTGTCAGTGACCTTTGGCATGGACAGCCGCTGCCACATCGACCTGAGCGGCATCGTGGAGGAGGTGAAGGCCCAGTACGATGCCATCGCAGCTCGCAGCCTGGAGGAGGCTGAGGCGTACTCTCGGAGCCAGGTGGGGCTGACCATAGAGGGCAGGAGCAGCAGCCCGGACAGCTCTCTGGGCAGCAGGAAGGACTAGGCTGGCAATGGCTAAGGTCGCCTGCAGCTCTGTCATGAGAGTCTATGAGAGAGGAATGGAGAAGCACAGGGGTGGGGCGGTGGCGGAGACCATAGAAGCTGGCCTGTGCCCTCCAGGCAGTGCTGTTATCAGCAATGCCAGGCAAGATGTGGGCATGGCCCATGGGGCTCAGCTAGTGCAGCCAGGAGGAAGCCACCCAGAATGGGAGGTGGTAGGGGCAACAGAGGGAGCCTGGCATGGGGGTGGGCGATGCAAGGAAAAGCAGACGCAGGTAACAGGTGCTGGGAGCGGCACTGAGCTGCCCCTCACTGAGACCTCCACACACCTCCAGCTGGAGGAGCAGGCCGCCCGCTCGGCCGAGTTTGGGAGCAGCCTCCAGAGCAGCCGCAGCGAGATCGCAGACCTCAATGTGCGCATCCAGAAGCTTCGGTCCCAGATCCTCTCCGTCAAGAGCCATGTGAGTATCTGGGGGATGTACCTGGGGGCAGGGAGGAGAGCAGGGAGACACACAGTCATGTGTGCTGAATACAGCAGGACTGAGTGACCCTGGGTGGGTTGCTTAGCGCCTCTGTGCCTCAGTTTCCTAATCTGTCAAGTGGGATAATAGCACAGCCTTCTGAAGTACTTATGAGGATTATGTGAGCTTTGCATGCAAAAATGCTCTGTAAACTGGTCAAGGCTGCTGGAAGGTTAGAAAGCCCCCCCTACCATGCACACCCAGACAGAGCCCACTGCCTCCCTCCTGGGGAGGTTTGGGGGTCATTTAATCAAAGCCCCCCACCAACTACACAGAGAGGAGGGAGTAGAGACCTAAGTCCCAGCTTCCAGTCAGAACAAACCTTCAGAGCGGACACTGCCCTGTAAGGACCGCTGGGATGGGCTCCTTCACTGGCTTGTGGTGCTCTCCTCTGGCCTTGGGAAGGTGTCTCTTCAGGTCTAACTGAACTTCCTCTTGCTGCGTGCCAACCCGTTACCATACCCGGTCATGCCATTGCTCAGCCCTCCCTCCTCACACCCACCCCACCAAGGACAGAGGTGACTCCTGGCCCTGGCCCGCTCCTCTGTCCCCTGCTCACTGGCCCTTTCCTTCTGTCCTCCTGCCTGCAGTGCCTGAAACTGGAGGAGAACATCAAGGCAGCCGAGGAGCAGGGTGAGCTGGCCTTCCAGGACGCCAAGACCAAGCTGGCGCAGCTGGAGGCCGCCCTGCAGCAGGCCAAGCAGGACATGGCGCGGCAGCTGCGCAAGTACCAAGAGCTGATGAATGTCAAGCTGGCCCTGGACATCGAGATCGCCACCTACAGGAAGCTGGTGGAGGGCGAGGAGGGCAGGTGAGAGCCAGGGCCGGTGAGGTGGGGCTGGAGGGGAAGGAGGGCTGCAGGCCCAGGCCTACACAAGTTCTACACAGCAACTACCTGTTCTCCTTTCCAGCATGACACAGTGAGCCTGGCAGGCCTGGGTTCAAGCCTGGCTCAGCCACTTAAAAACTGGGACCTTGGCCCAGTTCATTGAATTCTGTTTTCTCATCTGGAAAATGGGCTGATAAACATGATTCACCTGTGGCAGGGATGATTAATGTGATTATGCATGCAAATGCCTGTCAACGCTCAGTGCTCAGTGCTCTTAGCCATTTATGCCATGGAGAGGGGACAGAGGCCCAGAGAGGACCGGCTGGCTAGTCAGGGTCACACAACAGGGCAGCCCCAGGGCTGGGAGGGACCACCAAGAATCGGCCTCCACTTGCCAGCTCCCAGGGGAGTTTAAGCCACAGGCACTCTTCACATCCCATCATATCCCCTCTCCTACCCCACCCCCCAGGATGGACTTGCCCTCAGCCACCGTGGTCAGCGCTGTGCAGTCCCGGTGCAAAACCGGTGAGTCCTCTTGCCCCAATAACCCATGGTGGGGTGGGGGTTAGGTGCAGGGGCATCGTGATCTTAAAGGCATCATTTTAAGCGGCCCCCAAACCTCCAGCCCCTTCCCTCCCCTACCCCTTATGTTCCCTGTAGCTGCCTCCAGGTCAGGCCTCTCCAAGGCCCCCTCCCGGAAGAAGAGGGGCAGCAAAAGCCCTGTGATCAAAATCACCGAACTGTCAGAGAAGTACTTTTCGCAGGAGTCGGAGGTCTCGGAGTAAGGTGGCTGGACCCCAGGAACCCCAGGGCACTCCACTGCAGCAGAAGGGACTTAAGCTAGACTCAAGAAAGCAGCTTGAAGCCTCTAGGTTGGGAGAAGAGGCAAAACCTGCCACTGAACCGAGCGGAGGAGGGTTGGAAACTGCCTGCCATTTTGGGCTGCCAGGGTGGGAGAGGAGCATCAGCAGCGGTTCAGAGCCATTCCGCTCCATCTCCACCGCTCACAGCGCCAGCCTTCCACCCTGGCTGGAGGTGTTCCTGATGGGTGAGCTGGAATTAGGGGTCAGTTTTGTCTCTATCTCCTCACTCCTCTTAGGCTCCTCCTCCAGCATAGTGCTCTGCCGAGGCCCCTCTGACTCTTGCTCAATCCTTGCCCTGGACTCCTATCTCAAGCCTTGCCTTGCCTCTGCCTCAGAACTGAGGCTGGAACCCAGCTTGCTCACCTATGGGCCAGGGCCAAAGAGGACAGTGTGGGCCCTGTCCTGTATCTGGAGTTCCTGGGAAGACTGGATGCTGAAGACTCTCTTGGCTTTCCTGTGCTCCTTGAGCTCCCCAGAGACCTGACAGTATTAGGGAGTGAAGGGAGGAGGGGCCCTGGGTGTTTGGGACCTGAGCCTAAGCCCTGGAGATCAGCCAGGAACACCTGCGCCCCTCCCCGCTCTTGTGGGTCCCTCCTACTAGGCCATAGTCAGAACCAGAAGGGCTGCCCCCAGCCAGCTCCCAGACCTTCTCCAGAAGCGATTCTTGCCATAATCAACTCCCTTGGAGTGGAAGCCAGAGGGCGACTTGAGATTAAGCAGGAGCATCAGATCCTCCTTCCACCTCCCTGCCATGCAGGTATCCCATCCAGCCTGGAATCAGAGCTCTCTGCCCCTAGCCCACGTTGTTCCCAGCCTGAACTCCTGGCTTTGGTGCACCAGGTCCTGGATACCCCTGGTCCCACCCCTGCCATGAGATGAAGCCCCAGGCCCACTTCCCATGAGTCTCACTTCTCAGAGCCTCTGTTCCCCTCTCCATTGGGCCAAACAGCCTGGCCCTCCTCCTTGGCATTCATGGAGGAGCCCAGGAACTCCCCACACCTATGGGGTTAGAGCTCCTCCTTCCTTCTCACTCCATCCCCTTCCTCCCTCCTTGCCCACTCCCCCTGCCTCCAGCAGGCCAGGAAGAAGGCACAGTCCAGGCAAGTCTGGGAGCCTCCAAGCCCTTGAGGACCAGCTGTGGAGCCCAAATGACAGCCTGACAAGGGCTCCTAAGAAAGGGAAATTCTGCATCCCATCAGAAGACGGGGTGTTGGCAGGCATACGCCTATCTCCTCCTCTCGGCTCTCAGCTCCGGGGCTTGTAGAGGCATCCCAGCAGCTCCAGCCTCCCACTGCACAGCTTCCTTCCCTCCTCTCTCCTCTCCCCTCCCTGCCCCTCACCTCACCTCCTCTTCTAGAAAACGTTGGATTCTAGAAATCTCATTTTTCAGGACATGCTGGCCAGAGGTCTGGGCCCATCCCAGGCCTCAAGGCCATCCAGGCCTGTGGGGAGCACTGGCAGGTTACTGACTCTCTGGCCATGGGAACTCAGACATTCTTATCCCTGAAGTCCCAAAAGAGGGTGCTGATCGGTGCTTTTTCTCAAGCTCTTCACTGGTTTCCAAGGGAACAAATCCTCAGTGGGGATACAAGATATATTAAGTATATATTATTTTTTCATAACTTATGTGGCTTTTAACTTATTGCTTCCCTTCCTGTTTCTGCATAATCCATCTGTATATACTATCTGGATAGATTACACGTGTTCCAGCCACCTCACCTGACTGGCGACCTTGGGGCAATGTCCCCTTCTCCCTGCCACAGAATGAATAAATGTTGAGATTTGTCCATGGATAAAGCTGTGTGTCCGTTTTTATCTCTCTTCTCAGGACTTGTCAGTCACTGTCAATCAGGCTGACTATGGAACATTAATAATTCTCCAATTAAGGGGAAAAGAGTCCAGGGACCTAGTTATACCTTCAGACCAGTGCAGCTTGGACACACAAAGGCCTCCAGTCTCACCTTCTGATATGGTTTAGATGCTTGTCCCCTCCAAATCTCATGTTAAAATGTAATTCCTGGGCCAGGCATGATGGCTTATGCCTGTAATCCCAGCACTTTGGCAGCCTGAAGTGGTCAGATCATGAGGTCAGGAGTTCAAGACCAGCCTGGTGATGAAACCCCATCTCTACTAAAAATATGAAAATTAGCCAGGCATGGTGGCACACGCCTATAGTCCCAGCTACTCGGGAGGCTGAGACAGTAGAATCACTTGAACCAGGGAGGCGGAGTTGCAGTGAGCTGAGATTGCAGCACTGCATGACAGAGCCAGACTCTGTCTCAACAACAACAAAAAAAAGAAATGTAATTTGCAGTACTGGAAGTGGGGTCTGGTGGGAAGTATCTGATCATGAGAGAGGATCCTTCATGAAGGGCTCAGCACCATCCCCTTGGTGATGAAGGAATTCTCACTCAATTCACTAGATGTGGTTATTTAAGAGTCTGAGACCTTTCCCCTCTTTCTCGTCATGTGATGTTCCTGCTCCCCCTTCACCTTCAGCCCAAGTTTCCTGAGGCCCTCACCACAAGCTGAGCAAATGTTGGTGCCATGCCATTACAGCCTGCAGAACTGTGAGCCCAAGTAAAGGTCTTTTCTTTATAAATTACCCAACCTCGGCACTTCTTTTTTTTTTTTTTTTTTTTTTTTTTTGTGAGACAGAGTCTCACTCTGTCACCCAGGCTGGAGCGAGTGGCTCAATCTCAGCTCACTGTAACCTCCGCCTCCCTGATTCAAGCAATTCTCCTGCCTCAGCCTCCTGAGAAGCTGGGATTAGAGGAACCCACCACTATGCCCAGCTAAATTTTTGTATTTTTAGTAGAGATGGGGTTTCACCATGTTGATGAGGCTAGTCTCGAACTCCTGACCTCAAGCGATCCACCCGCCTCAGTCTCCCAAAGTGCTGGGATTACAGCATTAGCCACCTTGTCCAGCCAGGGATTTCTTTATAGTCTGTTTAAGAACACCCTATAAGCACAGCCAGGCCCCCTGGGCTGACTAATACACTGTCCCACGTGGAGCCTGCACCAATGTTGACCTATGTTCCCAGCACCTCCTGACATATCCAGGCACCACATAGGCCATTTTAGCCAGCACATATGCCGGGGATTCCCCAGTGGTGGCAGTTATTCACGAGGTCATCAGCTAAGGCTCAGAGTGGCAAGGACCACAACTTTGGTCACTAGGGAGGAGAAAGGAAGCATTGTGGTGGCCTTGAACCATTTCTTACCTTCAGACTGCCTGCTCTGGGGCAGAAAAAAATGATCAAACCTAAGAGTTGGTGAGGCGGAGACCAAAACACAAAATGAAGGTAGGTTCGAGCAGGCACCCAAGAGGTGGTGCCCAGCCCAGATCAGAGCCCAGAGGCCTGTGCCAGGACTGGCGAGTCAGTGCCCTGGTGGCTCCAGAGAAACCTCCAAGAAAGACCCAGGACCAGAGGTCTGGGCAGGCCCTGTGTTCTGCGGGCTGGCTGCACACTCCCCACCTGCCCCTTCTCCTGGTCTGTTCTGGCCTGAGGGAAAATAGCAGGGGGCTGGGTGGTGGCTGGGAAAAGTGTCCTTGTCCTTCAGCGCTGATGGTGGAGACCCACACAGAAGCAGAGAGACAGCCACAACTAGAGCCACCTGGACAAAGTTTAAGACCTCAGTACTGGGGCCTGCAGTACAGGCAGGGAAGTTAGTCAAGGACAGATTCCTGGAGGAGGGGAGGAGGCTGCTGGGAAGGAGGAGTGATAGGTCTAGCAAAGAAGGGGGTAGAAACGCCGGCCCAAGGGAGGGAAGTGGAAGGGATTTGCTCAGCCTTCAGCCTGGGGCTGTGCATTACCCGACAGGAACAGGGGAGACCTGAGTTGAGAATGAGGAAAACTTGGGAGCACACACTGTAATGTGGGGTGACCCCTGAAGCCCCCACAAGGTGTAAGCCAACTGGTGCAGGGACTGCGTCTTACTCAGCTGTGTGCCCCAGTGGCCGGTAGTGTGCCAAGCATGCAGTCGGCACTTACTAAATGCTGCTACTTGAACAGAGGCCTAAGTAGCCAGTGGCTGCAGGTGCAGAGAGATGAGAGGTGGGTCTGTCGCTGAGGATGTTTCAAGCATCTGCTCTGTACTGTGCCCTGCAGTCAGCACAGTGGGCGGAAGGAGGGAAGAAAGGGGGAAATGGGGTCCTTGCTCTCAAGCGCCTCTGAACTGATGTGGGGTAGCCAGGATCTGGCTCGGGGCCCCCTGTCGTGCCCAAGTCCCTGCTGTTCTGGTCAGCCCTGAGCTGTGTGGGACCTGGGGCAAATCATGTCCCTCTCTGGAGTTTCCTTTATCTGTGAATAAAGATGTTAGACTGAGTGACCCCGCAGATCCCTTCTACGCCAGCACTGCGAAATTCTGTTGAGCCTCCCTTCCCACCTCAATTCGTCGGGCGGTCCCTGCTCAGGAGGTAGCAATAATCATCATGGAGACGATGGTCTGTAGAGCAAACCCTGGTTCCAGCTGTGTGGTCTTGGACAACCTCCAGGAGGTAAACAGTGCCTGTCTGCTTTGTAGATTTGTTGTGAAGCTTTAAAGCGATGATACATGATAAAAGAACTTAGTGGCTGGGTCCGGTGGCTCACGCCTGTAATCCTAGCACGTTGGGAGGCCAAGATGGGCAGATCATGAGGTCAGGAGTTCCAGATGGCCAACATGGTAAAACCCCATCTCTACCAAAAATACAAAAATTAGCCAGGGGTGGTGGCACCTGCCTGTAGTCCCCGCTACTAAGGAGGCTGAGGTAGGAGAATCGCTTGAACCCGGAAGGCAGAGGTTGCAGTAAGCCAAGACTGCACCACTGCACTCCAGCCTGGATAACAGAGTGACACTCCATCTCAAAAAAAAAAAAAAGAATTTAGCACAGTGCCTAGCATGTGGTAAGTGCTTAATAATAACAAAATAGTAAGCACACGGAACTTTGGGAGCCCTTCCCCTTTCCCCCTACCCCGAGTCGGGGTGGAATCCGCCTGGCCCAGGGGGCCTGATCTGCAGTGGTCAGGCATGTGTCCACACAGTCGGCCACCCTCACCTTCCCCTTCCCTCCAAGAGAGGCTAGGGCTCCAGGACCTGTCTCAGGGGAGTTGAGGATTGGAGAGGGTGAGGAAACTGGCCCAGCCCTTCCCTTCCCTTCTGGAGCTGACTGCTCAGGCTGCATTCCATTCCGGCAAGGTCAGCTCCTGCCCTGACAGCCTGCACCACAGCAACCACTGCCCTCTGCTGGCCATGACGAGACCGTGCTCCTAAGGAGCCTGAGTGAGCCCTGCTGGGTTCTAGGGAGGGGAGGAGATAAGACAGCTGGGGCAGGAGCTAAACCCACAGCTCAGACCCCACACACTTAGGCTCAAATTTCAGACCTGAACTCAGAATCCCTCAGGGCTGAGCCACCTCTCCTGGCCTGGCCTCCCCTCCCAGCAGGAGCAGGCTCAGTGCTTTCCACAAAGGGAGCTGCCACAGCCCACAGGCCTCAGGGACCTTGACCCCACCTGGAATCCCCAACCCCAACCCCTAGATCTGGCTCGTCCTCATCTTCCAAGTCTCAGCTCAGATGCCTCCTCCTCACAGAGACCTTCCTTGAGGCCCGCCTCAGATAGTCCCCTCCTTCCCCCACAGTCCTCTTCATTTTCATGTCATTATTACTGTGTGTGCTCTTCGCCACACTCAGCACAATCTACTTTCTCAGGTAGTTGATGTTTTCTCTAGTGCATCAGTTGGGGTCCAGCCAGGAAAAGGGAAACCAAGCTAGCTATTTCAAACACGGGCATCCAGTGCAAGGAATTTGATAGGGAGGCTATTGAAAGCTGAAAGCTCAAAGCGGGAGAGCTGCAGCGCTGTAGAAGCCAGCGCAGACAATAGACAATACCTCCCCGGAGCTAAAAGCAGCGGCCTGGGGCCAGGGGCTGGTTCTTGGGCCTAGGGGCAGAGATCGGAGGGAATACAATGTTTTCCTTCTCTTAGGAACAGCTGGGGCTTAAAGAACTGGGTCATTGTCCTGACAAGGTGGCCAAAATCAGTGCAGCTTTCAGAGGGCGGCTACACATGTGCTCCCGGGTAATGTGTAACACCCATAGGTCCCCTGCCAGAACCTGCTATTCACAAACAATAAATACCCATCCGTTATTTGCTAGCTTTCTTGTATTTTCCATTTTCTTTCATTTTTGGAGACAGAATTTTGCTCTGTCACCAAGGCTGCAGTGCATTGGTGCAATATCGGCTCACTGCAACCTCTGCCTCCTGGGTTCAGGCAATTCTCCTGTCTCAGTCTCCCGAGTAGCTGGGATTACAGGTATGTGCCACCAGGACCAGCTAATTTTTGTATTTTTAGTAGAGACAGGGTTTCACCATGGTGGTCAGGCTGATCTCAAACTCCTGAACTCAGGTTATTTGCCTGCCTCAGCCTCCCAAAGTGCTGGGATTACAGGCATGAGCCACTGCGCCTGGCATTTCATTTTCTTCAAGGGGAGAAGCCCCACCGCTCCATGTCCCAACTCAGGTATGTGAGTTTGGTAGATGTCCCCAAAACACCCACTTCTGTCCTAACGAGAGCAAAACAGAACCAGAATGCCCCTGCCCCCTGGGGTGGTTTGAATGTGTCCCACAACAATCCCAAGGAAACAGTGTTGAGAGGTGGGAACTTTGAGGGGTGATAAAGTCATAGGGCTCTGCCGTCTTGATTGGATGAAAGTGACATGGACGGTGGTGGGGGCGGGGGGGTGTGGGTTGTTAGAAAACCAGGTCTGGTCCTCTCTTGCTGTCTCACACACTCTCACCCTGTGTGCC